AAAGAGATTGTACTCGACATTCTGCTGTGAGAATGCAGCTGAATACAAATTACATAAACACCCAATTGTTTCTATGAGTTTTGGAAGGAAGGTGAGAGGATGGGGTAGGAGGTAAGAGAAAGGAAAGTGATATTAAGATATGTTATTTTCTATTTTCAGATTAACTTGAAAATGTTGTACTTGTAGATGCTCCAGTCATATCCAAGTTCACTCTGTTTCAAGGTAAACCAAGACAGTGTAATAGGTGAGAAATTTGATATTGCTCTTTAAATAGAGTTAAATATATTGTTGCAGAATAAATAATGCACTGTATCTCCTTTATTTTCAAGTCTTCTGTGAGTAAAACCAAATTCAGTGCTTTACATTTTCTGTTCCCCAACAGAATGGGAATTGAATAGCATAACAGTTCATCTTATTTACTTTAGGAAAAAAAGAAAGTCTTAACCACACTGAAAACACTTTGCAATGGCGTGAAGATATTTCAGAAACATTAAAGGCACAAAGGTCTGCTGCAGGCATTTGGTCCTAAGCTATTCTTTATCTGTTCTGTCCAGAACCAAGGCAACATGTAATTTAAGAGTAACGAGAAGAGAAGGCAAAACCTGGAAGCCCCAGATAAATGCAGCTTTATCTGAGAAACAGTGACAATGCAGCTAACGAGGAGAAGCTTTTGAGTCAGCTTTTCTCTCAATGTAGTTGTAATAGTCAAAGCTGCTGTTCTGTAAGTGACCATACAACGTCCTCTTAAAAGCAGGAGTGCCACTGTGACAGGTGGGATCCCTAATCTCTCATGTTAGCTGTCTTGAATGCTCTCTTTGGTTTGTTAGAGACATCATAACCTGATCCAGTGCCTGATTTAGTGGCAACCCTACCTGTGAAAGGGGTTGGAAATGGATGATCTTCAAGGTCCCTTCCAGCCCAAAGCAGTCTGTGATCAGCCCATTCTTGAGCAGAGGAAATAGCAGGAATGGGGCTCAACTGCAGATGACTGGGAAGGGCACACCAAGGCTGGATGCAGCAGAGGTTTCTGGGGTACTCTTCAAGCTGCCAGCAGCATAGAGCCAAGAGGCTGTGCGAGCCAAAGGTGCTTTATCTTTGTTCAAAATGTTCTAATTTCTTCTGTGAACCCCCCACCCCAACACACACACACACACACACACACACACACCCTTGCTTTGTAAACCCCTAAATTCACACCAGAACTGCACACGCCCCAAAGCATCCAACGCTGACGAACCCCATGGTTTGGCTGTACCTCAGACTGTTACAAAGCATCCAGGTTTACCCGATGCCCCAAAGGCACGCAGGCGGCTGCACGCACCCTTCCACCGCTCCTCACTGCTGGCCCCACGAGCACCGGGGATGGATGGCAGCGCTGGAACCGCCTCACACCTGCAGCACCGATGGGGAGCGGCTGCCTGAGGAGCTCAGCGCCCTCGCAGCTCTCTCCTGCTACAGACACATGTGCCTAGACGGAAGGACAGCCGCAGGGCGTGAATGTGCTTTCTCCAGCCGCCAAACGGGACAGCAAGGGTTGTCTTCTATTCGAGGGAAAGCATCAGAGGTACATCGATCTCGATGACAGAGAAGGAGAGATCGAAGAGCTGAAGAATTCCTTCTTTCAGCTCTCTCACAGCCCCTCCGACGCGCACACTCCCTTCTCGCCGAGGACGGAAAGCTGCAGACCACCTCTCGGCGCCTGGGGACCCGGCAGTCACCTACCCCCACTCGGGAGCCGCTTACCTTCTCCTCCTCCCGCTCCGGGCTGTCCCTCGCAGCCCCCGCCATGGTACTGCGGACAGCACAGCCCTGTCCGACACCTGCGTGCCCGGGGCGGAAGGAAGGAGAGGGACAGCGCGGGCGATGCCCTCCCCCTTCCCGCCCGCAGCGCTCGTGAGGAGCCGAAGGTGCTATCTCTGCTCTCCGTGCTCGGGGGGAGGCATTTCCCGCGAGGGCTGCGGGTACCTTTCCGGCCTGCCGTGCCCTCACACGCGCCCTCGCTCTGCCCCGAGAGGTGACACTGAGGCTTTATTCTACCCGAAGCCGCTGGACAGCGGGAGCGCCCGCGGCAAAGGGAGCCTGAACCCGAGCCCGCCCCGCCGCTCCCCTCAGAGCCCCGCGCCTGAGGAGCGGGCAGCAACTCCTCGGCCACGGAGCGCTCGGACCTGTTGCAAGACTGCGAAGCACGACGGCTGCTGCCTTAATTTAGGCAGTACAAGTTCACCACCGACAGCACTTCCCTCAGCGAGTGAGTCCGTAGCAAGAAGTGCATTTTCAACGATGAGTTCTTTTCCTGTTTGTCAAAGAGGGTTTAAACACACCAACAAGCATCTCGTAAAGGCGGTGGCTAAGCTACGCATGCAGCATTTCCCCTTCAGATAGAGCTGCTGCTGCGGTTCATTATCTGCTATGCTCACTCGGTAATAAGGACCATCACAACCACGTAGGAAAATTCTGAAAGAAGGAAGAATTTTAAAAAGTCATTCTATCACAACACTACAGTTGGTTTTAGCAGAAAGTCGAAACCCTGGCTTTACCACAAGTTCATTGAATCATTAAGGTTGGAAAGACCAATGAGATCCAACCATCGGTCCGTTCCTGTGACCAGTGCAGTACAGTGGGATCACCAGCTCCCTGATCCTGCTAACTACACTATTTCTGCTACCGTTGATGCCGTTGGCCTTCTTCACCACCTGGGCACGCTGCTGGCTTACAGTCAGTTGTCTGTCAGTTAATACCTCCACAACCTTCTCCTTACAGCTTGCCAGCCACTCTGCTCCAAGCCTGTAGCAATGCATGGAGTTTTTGCAACCAAAATGCAGTATCCAGCACTTGGTCTTGCTGAACTCCATCCCATTGCACTCAGCTCATCAATCCAGCTAATAAATTACTAGGTTTCACTTAAAAGCATTTAGACCCCAAAGTGTCCTTAAGGGCTAAGGGTGGATGCTGAACTGCTCAGTGCCTTATCCCAACATGGTATTTTTGGAACAAATTCTAAGCTAGATGCAAGTTGGAATATTTTTAACATCAGAATGCTTAGCTCAAACTCAACACATAGGTTCTTCTCTTTCACTTCAGACATTATATCCAAAATATGTGAAATCTTTCTTAGCTACATTTACGTACTTATTCACAAAGGAAAAACTAGATAAAATATTTCCTCTCCCTGGCCAAAGCACAATAGGTGTCTACAGCACTGAGCAACAGATGAGCTGCCCGTAGTATCTGGACAGCCTCATTAGTCTTACAAATTGACCAAAACCAATTAGCTTTAAAACAGCTCTGTATTCACTCCAAGCATTTTCTCTCAGTTAGGAAGTGTTACCCAATCACAGTTTCTTGCTCTTTTTTTTTTTTTTTTTTTTTTTTTTTTAAATTTCCTGAAAGTACTTTCTAGTCTAATATTAAATGGTGCTGACTGCACTAATCCTGACTTCTGAGATATCTGCTCCCAATTCTGTTCCCAGCACTGGAACAGGTTGCCCAAAGAGGTTATAGATGCTCCATCCCTGGAGGCATTCAGGGCCAAGCTGGTTGTGGCTCTGGGCAGCCTGGTCTGCTGGTTGCTGTCCCTGCACACAGCAGGGGGTTGGAACTGGATGATCAGCCCAGGCCATTCCATGATTCTGTAATTAAGATCATTCAATTTCTTGCAGCACTTCAGACTACAAACACACTGAAGTCTACCAAAGCTGGAAAGAGTTGGAAAGCACACTGTATAGCCAAGAGAGAATCAACCTACCTGATCTCTTAAAACACTGGTAGCAGGAATGAATCAATGTTGAAATATTAAGCTCCTTTCCAAAAACCTAATCTTCTGACAATAAGCAAAACAACCTTACCTACCTAAACACTGTTATTTTCTCCTTTTAAATTCCATTTTACATAAACACTTTGTAATCTTTTCATTTAATTTCTGTTGTAAACACAGGAGTAGTGTACTGCTACTTTGAAGTTACATGAACCTTTCAGATAAGAATAACTGTGTTTTACAATCAAGCATGTGTATTTCTCTAACATTTGGTTTTACATTAAGACTAATCCAAAAGAACTGATGAATTAAAGCCACTGTTCAAGCTAAGGGTAGAATACATGCCTGCAGGTGACTTGTCTCTTCAGTTTTATCAAGGAATTTGTCTGGATATTTTTTCCTACAGCTAGAGATTTCGCAGGCTTTTCATGTAATGGAAAAGAGAATGGAAGAGCAAACAAAATGCAATTGTATAATTTGCTACACAAACCTGAATGATGCAGTAACACAGCAAGTTTATAGTACTGAAAGCAGTGCATACTGTACTGCATAGCTTACAGATATTCAATTTTTGAATACATGGGAGTAGTTATTTGCGCAGTTGACTTCAATTTGACTGTCCTCAAATGTCCTCAGTGCTCCAGCATTGAGAAAGTTGCAAAGTTGCCCAAAGAGGCTGTGGAGTCTCCTTGGAGATCTCTAAGAGCCACCTGGATGTGGTGCTGGCACTCTGCTTTGAGTTCCCCTGGTTGGATCAGATGGACCCTCTGAGGTCCCTGCCAATCTCAGCCATCCTGCGACTCTGAGAGAGACTCTGGAACAAAACTAGCAGTTTTATGTTCCTGTAAATGAAATAAGTCCATCCTTAGCATGAAGTAACAGGACTTTTAGAAAGAATTAGTCATTTCAATTAAATAATTTTCTATTTAGAAGAACAGAGAAGCCCAAAATGATCTTTAACCACGCAAAAGAAGTTCAACTCTGACAACCACCCATTTGTGTAGGTAGCACAAACAAGTCAGCATTTATTGAAGGCCCCAAGAAAGTCTTTACCGAGAGACTCTAGGTCCATACACAAACCCATATGTGATTTAACACAACCAGTACAAAATATATATATTTTTAGTCCTTAATGTCCTCCTTTAGCAAAACCTGGGATGGTTGGGTACAAATCTTATGCCAAAAGCACAAGGACAAAAAAAAAAAAAAAAAAAAAAAAAAAAAAAAAAAAAAAAAAGAAAAAAAAGATTTGGATGGAAACGGGGTGAAGGCGTAGAGGAGAAGCCTCAGTTTTCAAATACAGATTTTACATATCTTTGAAGTTTGCCTACATGCTGTTGACATCTCATCAGATGGCTAGCTCAGGACAGAGACAGATATGTAATATAAAAACAGCTGTGTCCCTCTAAGCCACTACAGCCACATGGCAAACTACAGAAAAATGAAGTTTGTCTGTGACGAGGCTAAAAGCAGATCTGTATCCTAGTGAGCCAGGTAGTTTAACATCACCCTGTCTGTAAGATACCTGTAGCAGAACACAAGAGACAGAAAACACTTCAACCATTAGGAATAACAATTCCTTCAGAGCTTACTTTGAGGCACTTCATATCCAGTATGCACCAGGCTACCTAATTTCAATCTTCTCACACATGCACCTACCATCATGTGAAGACTTAATAGGACATTCACACTGCAGATATTGTGATGAAATACTAATTAAATACTAATGATACTTACACTGATTTTCAAAATACTTAGAGGAGTTCAAATGTGAACTTCCCTGCAGCATCTATTGCCTGTTACTAAAACAAGAAGGGAAACTGGAGCAACTTATACTGAAGTATAAATTAAATCAATCAGTTCAGTTTCTCTTTAGTCCAAAGTGCAAAAATAAATATTGTTTTTCCCTAAAGTGTTACCAGTAGTAATTAAGTCTCAGAGTTCCATTCCACCTAAGTACACTCATTAAAGAACATGCTAGCAAAGCCAAGGAAATCACAAGGATAACCCCTGTCGTACAGTTACCTCTGCTGCATTATTCAGCCAGGCTCTGATCACCAAAATTAGTTGAAAATATGTTTGTCACAGCAAATTACAGCACAGCACACACCTGCTCCCTAAGATCACACTAGGTAAGAATGATAGTGCATCCAGATATTGCTGGTTACGTTTTGTCTAGTTCTGCCTGCGTGCAGCTTTCAGTTAGCTATAAACTGATCTGAAGTTGTGCTTTTGATAGCGGTTTTTTGCTCATTCCTGAGCCGTCCATTAGGTGCAGCAGCAGTTTTACAGTCATTGTCAGGAGCTTTCAGCACTGAGAGTCTAAAAGGTTCAGTTGTTTTCCGAAGTCTCTGAACAACAACAGCATTTTGCAACTTTGCTTCCTGTAGTGTCAGCGTCTCATCTTGCAGCTCTCGAAAGGGCAGCGAAGTAGTCAGCATGAAGGGAACACCTCCCTCAGATCCTTGATACTTTGTTATGAAGTCTCTGACGTGGCTTATTCTGAGAAGAAAAAAAGAAGACTCAGCATCAGTGTGCTCTAGCCTTAACACAGAACACAAACACAACACACACAAAAAAGGAACCTCAGGAACAGAATGAGGCATAACAGCTGATGGCACAGAAATGGAGAAATAGTTATCCTTAATGCTTGGTTCACTTGAGAGCAAGAAAATAAAAAGGATTCAAATGCTTCACCATGGCTCACGGACGGCTGTCACACCACTCTGCTATTTCTTAACCAGCTGGTGGAGCTCTACTTGATGTTTCCATAGCCAAGAGCCAGAATGAGGAAGCCTTTAGTATATGGTACATGCAGCAGAACCATAGAAGAAAAAGCAAAATTTGCAAAGATTTTTGCAAAATTTGCCTGGATAACTAGTTAATTAGGTCTTACAGTAGCCTCTGTCTCCCAAAGTAGGAGCAGTAGTAAATTCAAGATGCCCGCTAACATGCAAAGAATCTTTCAAGAGTAAGCAAGACACAGGTTCCCAAGGATTTTTTTTCCCCTGTTGAAGTACAGTTGTAAATAATACTATTTATCACAAAGAAAAAAACTCCTTAATATACTTAAACCTGTTAAACTTGGAATAACAAAGATAAAACCTTTATTTGGGAGCTTCTAATTAAAATAGCAATTGATCTTTCAGCAGTACATCACAACAACATTTTGCATCATACTTTAGGCTGCTAAGAGTAATAAATCAGTACAAGTCAAACCTGAGCTCTTCTTCCAACCATTCATAATCTCAGCACGGTCAGGATAGGAGTAAGACCTCTGGAGATCATCCAGTCCAACCCCCTGCTAAATCAGGTTCCCTACAGTAGGTAGCACAGGAAAGCATCCAGAAGGGCTTTTGAGTATCTCCAGAGAAGGAGACTCCAAAATCTCTCTGGGCAGCCTCTATTTACAGTTTATCTCGACAGCAGTCTGGGTTGTGTTAAAACCTACGATCACTTTAAAGTGATTCAGGGAGAAACACAGGCAAAGTAACCTTTGCATATGACATGACTGTGTGGTACTGCGACAGCAAGTTACAAATTGGAGAATGGTCCCTAAAGACAGCAGTTCCAAAATTTAATGTTAAGCCATTAATCCTACTTTCTCAAGGTTCCTTCATACATCTGCCGTGCTGACACCTTCTGACTTCACCCCTATTTATAAGCCTCTTTGGGAACTGGAAACTGTAGTAATTAAGAATTAAGCACACTAGATGCATTTTATTCCAACCATGCTGACAGGACAGACGTGCAGGTGAATAAGCTCGCCTGCTTAACTTTGGCCCTCCCTGCATGATCCTCTGGCTCAGCTCAAAGTCACATCCTCCACTTCCTTCTACATGCTGGAAGAAATACAAGTGGATTTTCTGAAACTCAACAGCTGCTGTCTGCTCAACAACTAGCAGGTTTTCCTTTTTGAGTAAGTGATTTGCTCCAGATGTAGTCATTCTGTAAGAGACTTGTCATCATAAAAGCCACATAAATCCACTTAACTGTTTCTTCCAGCAGTGAACAATTCATACACCTTAACTTCCACTAACCTAAAAACCTCCAAGTTTCCTCAATGGATTTTGATTTACACTCAGTTACGAGCTGACTGGTAGCATCAGCTCACGTTTCTCTCATACTCCTCTTACTTATTTGCTAAAAAACAATGAATTCTCTCTAAAATAATTTCAAAAAGATACTCCAGATAGAGCCAAAGAGCAAAGCAACGTTAAGTGAACGGGAGAGGTAGATGAGTTACAGATATTGGACGCATCATACGTACAGTTGTAGCACAAGTAATTCAGATGTGAGCACAAATAACAGCATTACCTGTGTGAAACGTTGAATTTCTGAATGATCCTCTCCCCATCCGCTAACCAGATCTGGATGTTAGTGACTGGCTCCAAATCATTTAAGGGTACTACAGGAAGACGTCTTTTATCAGCAGCTGCTTGATGATCCTCTGTTCCTTTAGAGATTATCCTTGGAGTAGCACTGAAAAAAAAACAAAACAAACCCAAGTTAAGACTTCCCATAAGTAAGATTTGGACCCACGTCCAAATCTCTTCTTCTAGAGCTGTCTGCCCTGTGTCAAAGAGCAAAAAGGTTATGGGATTTGATATCATTAAAAAAACTAGAACAAAAACAAAAAAACAGAAAACTGTGCTAATAATTCCACATGGAAGTCTTCAACGTGCTGAAGAATTTGCTTGTCTGCAGTAAGCATTTTACAAGCCAGGGAACTGACATGTCAAAGGATTAAAGCACACAAGAGAGATTCTTTGTGTATTTTTGTACTCTAATCACACAGGTGAAACTATAAGGGGCTTAAGTTCGAATTTGCATACTCAATGTTAATTTTCAGTGCAATGTGATTACAGTAATTCAATTTAACTGAAAGCTGTTAGCCTTGATTTAGACTCCAGCGTCATTTCTTTCAGTTTAGAGACACTCTTTAGAGAAATTGATTTAATGTGGAAACCCAGGCTTGTGCATACACTTAGCTTTTGATTTGCAAAGCACTTTCAACAGCTCAACGTACCATAAGGGCAAAGAAAGATGCATAAAATAGTTTGACAGAAGGCTTCAGTTAAGTGTATGGTCTTTGGAAAAAAAAATTACTGGCACAAATACTGGTTTTGAAACATCTAGAGCTTAGGTTTCCTTTGCTTTCAGGAGCAAGCTCGTTCAGTATGTACTGTTTAAGTCATCACTAAGGCCGGATCCATCGGGCACATCCTCAGCACATAAACATGAGCAGATGTTTGCTTGCAAAACAACAGCAATGATTTAAGGAGTTACCATTTCTTCTGAGCTCTGTAGTGGTTACTGACTACATGAGTGCTTCACAGTGGTTTCAGACAAAGCTCACTCCACACACCAAAAAAATCACCTATTGTTTCTTGAGGGAGAACTCACTAAACAATAGAACAACAGATCTTAACAATACTGTTACAGACAAACAGCATCCTTATGTTCTTGTATTGTGTTAGTTTAATCATAATGCAGGACAACCACAGGTCATTTTTGATTAAAAACAAAGATATCTACTGATTTGATACATTCAAGCTAACAGTCTTCTCAATCTGAAGCATTTCAAGAGTTCTCTACCACTCATGTCCAGATAAGTGTTCTAACTCCCAGACTATCAGCCAGTAGAGGCACTTTTGATTTCTTCCACTGAAACTTGACCAAAAAAAAAAAGTTAAGCAATCTCAAACGATAAGAGATACTCACTACAAATGAAGGCAATAAGCAGAAACCATGTGGGGTGCAAGAAATAGGAAGCAATAGCAATAGATTTCAAGATGTGCACCTGTACAACATTCTGGCTGCAGTCCAAATACAGGTGACTTACTATCATCCATCTGCCCTATTGATGTACTTATCTCACACTCAGCTTCTCGTCATGCTTGAGCTCAACAACAATAACAAAAAACCCTAGCTGCAGTCCAGATTTGGAAAAAAAAAAAAAGCCCTTAAGCACGAGCAAGATAAAGTTAAACAATCTTGGCAATGGAAGTAAAAACAAAAATAAAGTGCAAATCATACTTAAGTCCAGCAGTGATCAGCTTTCAGCAAACATACGCAGAACAGAAGGCAACACATTAAACTAAGCTGCAAGAGAACGAAGAACTCTACTCACCAAGTTCTAAAGCATTTCCACACTTAAATTTGTTCCTGTACACTGACAGATAAAGCCATCTAGTGGTGGGAGCTCTGACCGAAGCCACAAACCAAAAACGTAAGTCTTCTATGAGTCTGACATCGAACCATCATCATTCCTTCTAACAGTTCATTCCTTTTACATCTTCCCTTGATAATCTTACAAAGATTGAAGAGATACAAAAGTCTCCAGGCAATTTTTCAAATATTGGGCTTTATCTCTTTAAATATAGTGCTTACCCAGACTAACGGGAAGAATCTTGAAGCACACTGTTTTACCCTAAGAATGTTATACAGCAAATCCATTTTGCTACAAGTGATTTCAGTCAACAGCACAGCTAAGGTCCTTTCTAAGGCTGTTTTTAAAATACCTTGTTAAACTTAACAGAGATTTTCAGCTGCAAATCTTGTGAGAGTCAAGCCATTAAATGAACCTGAGTGGGGTAAATAAACCTGAATATATCCATTTGTTATGCAGGTACCTGAGGTATATTGGCAAAGTCTTTGTTTCTCCTGTACAACATAAATGGAGAGGATCAAACTCATTTGGGTTGCATTAAAAATAACAAATGAAAACAGTTCTAGCTCCTCTATTTTTCCCCCAAGCAAATTTTAATGAGGTGGTCAACAGACCAGCTTCTAGTGAGACTCCATAACGCAGCCACTCATGTAATTCATTCACCTGGGAGCATCAGCAGAGAAATCTACAGAGATTGTTATGAAGTTTAACTGGTAAGCAGGTCATAAGCTAAGTAAATCATTCAGTCATTTGTCTCTCTCTTTTAGTTAAGCACATGAACGCAACTGTGTACAGGGAGTTCAACAGCTTCAACCTTGTTATGTTGTCCTTGTTTCAGCTGAGACAGAGTTAATTTTCTTCATAGCATATGCTATGATGCTTTAGGCTTTAGGAGAAAAACAATGTTGATAACACATCAATGTTTCATTTGTTCCTCATCAGAGGTTACACAGGGCCAAGGACGTTTCAGCTTCTCCTACTGTCCTGCCAAAGGGAGGTGAATGAGGGGACACAGGGAGCTGGCAGCGGACAGAACCACGACAGCTGATCCAAGAGATCAAAGGGCCAAAGGGATCTTTCATATCAGATGGCATCATTTAAAAAACAATAAAACTGTAAGAAATTGGCTGGGGGGAGGGAGGGCTACTGCTTCTCAGGGACTGGCTGCATGTAAGTTGGTGGGTGGTGAGCAGTTGTGTTGTGCATCACTTGTTCTGTAAGTGTGAACACTTGTGATCACCATTGATACCATTTCTCTCTTCCTTTTCTGTCTTAGCAAATAAAAGAAATTGCAGGTTGAGATAAAAACTTTTTTTTCCTCCCAATTCTTTCCCCAGCTCATTGAGAGGAAGGGGTAGTGAGCAAAAGACCATGTGGTTCCAAGCTGACTGCTGGGTTAAACCACAGCATGTCCATCTCAGACAGTATTATTATTTCCCCAAAAAGCTCTTCTGTTCCAAGAGTAGCATATGGATGCAATGGACATTTGTTAACATCAGGAAGCGAGGACCAGTTTACAAAACACTCACAGCTCATGTTTCTACCACCAGCAAAAAATATTTAGTAGTCTTGAAAGAAAACATTCTGATACCGTAGCACTGAATAGACTAGCAACAGCAGGAGAGCGCATTCTATCCTGTTCATACAGAACAAAATTGCTGAGCAAGTTGTGGGATGTCTCAGTGTGCAAAACCACTCAAGCGAAAGTCACAGAATAGCGCGCTTCCAGAACCTAACGCGCCTACTGGGAAGCCAGATCATTACTTGCTGTAGGCATGACAGAGCACGACAAGCAACTGAACAACCTGCCACTTAGCCCTGCTTAGCAGCAGAAACCCAGTATGCTGAAGATCTTTCTGCTTCCGCTATCTACATGCCTACTGGTAAATGAAATACGATTCAGTTCTTGACCTTTGCTCAGGATTTCAGTGCTACCAGAAGCGAGACTTGAGGCATTTCTCATCCACCTCTCAAGGGAAGTTCTCCCTATTGACCCTATCAACCCAAGCGTACAGCAACTGAATGAATGGCCTGTGCTACTGAAACAGATGAAACTGATCAAAGATGCTTGCTTCTCTAATGCATCCAGAAACCACTCACTCTTTGCCCCATCAGCCTTTTACTCTGTTACCCACCTCCTCCCCCAGCCTCACCCAGCTGATGCTTTTCCTCAGCTTGAGCCTGAACAGCAAACCCTTTCCTCTGCATCAGAACAAGCTGTTCACTTCAGGCTTCAGCACAGCCTACACGTCACCAAGCAGATCTACCACTGAAGGTTTCCTGTAGGTTCCTGGTCACTGTGTTTCATTCCCAAGGCTGAAATCTTCTTTTTCATGCATGCAAATCTTACATGACAGAAATACGTGAAAGATGACTCAGCAGAAGTAAGCTAAAGTTGCAGAGATTTATACAGGTGAACTCCTGGCTTGCCCCTGTGCAAAGGATATCCAAAATGCTGTATGGTCATAAACCACGTCCAGTTTTTGTGCTGGTTGACCCTATCCACCCACACAGAATAAAGGAAAGAATGAGTGGGAAGTCAAACTGCAATGAACACATAGTTAAATGCTGAAAAACTTCAGCAGAATACAAAATAGTCTTCTTCAGCTCCAACACTCAAATTCCCCTTTTTTCATAGAAAGTACTGTACATAAACTTTTAACAGCAAAGCTTTTTTATTAAGTCACAGAATAAAAGAAACTGGGAACAGTTCTTTGAGAAAGTACTGTTCACATGGACATTTTGAGAAAAGAAAGTCATTAAACTCCTGGCTGTGTGAGCAGGACCCCAGCCAGCAGATCGTAGGAGCTGATAATCCCCCATACAGCATTCATTAGACACGCCTAAATACTGAACTCAGATTTGGCCCCCGATAAAAGGCCAGTAAAAGAAAAATATTGATAACTTGGTGGGGGTTCCACGGAGAGCCACAAAGATGTGCCTGGGCTGGAGCATCTGCCTTGGGGGGAGAGGATGGAGAAGGTGGGCTTGTTCAGCCTGTGGGAGAAATTGTACTAGGGGCCTTCGCAGCAACCTGCCAGTACCTACAGGAGGTTATCGGGCTCTACACGGAGGATATAAGTTGAAATTAGGTAAATTCAGATTGGGTATTAGGAAAAACTTTCTCCCTCATGAGGTCAGGTCACTGAATCAGGTTTCACAGCCTCCATCCTTGCAGAATTTCAAGGCCCAGCTGGATAAAGGCCTGAGGAATCTCATCTGTCCCCACACGTGAGCCTGTTTCACAGGGAAGCCTGGATTAGAGAACTCCAGAGGTAGCCTCCAATCTGAGTTATACGACCCCTTACCATACGTATACTTTCCTTCAGCTACTCAAGCACAGATTACATCAAGTTACTCACCTTCCTAATCTGTAACCATGACCAGAAAAGGGATGAAATATTGGCTTTTTTGATGACAGATACAATTCATCTTTTTTGTCCTCCACTTTCACATCTACCTCTTCCTTCTCAAATACTTTCTGCAGCTCAAAAGGCAGCTCCCTTAAGAAAAAAAAGACATCAGAAAAAGAATTATTATACTGTCTCAGTATCCAAAAACACATTAATGATTAATACCAGCTGTGTTTACTCTTGTAAAGATCATGCTTTAATAATTTATTAATAATCATACTAACTGCATGATATGCAAATAACTCCAAGTTCTTCAGCTGCAAATTAAATACAACTTGAACAATAAAATAAGACAATGTAATTCATTGAATGATACTGAAATTTACCCACCAGTTACCACACCAAAGTACATGCAGAGGGTTTAATATTACTGCAGTGATACACAGCAAGTTCTTTTTTTTTTTTGTAACTCATGGGAATAAAAAAAAACCCAAAAAAACACAGAAAACAATGATAAACTTTTAAGGAGAAAGACTGAGGTTAGAAACAATGTGTTTAATTACTGGTAAACAGGAAACTCAGCTTTAAGAAATCAGATCCCTAACAGCTACAGTCTTTAGTGGAGTAACATCACTCACCAGTGCTTTATTTGCCTTAAGCAGAACACAAGGCCTTTGTCTGGGTGGTGCTGAGTGCTAGCCTACCATCACCAATTATGCAGGAACCATCTGGTAGTTACTTAGCATCTCCATAAGGAAACAGAGAAAGGGAGGTGGTAAACTTTTGACTTCCACAAAGAAAGTAGAGGGCTCTCAACAACGCAATCAACTGCTATTAGAACCAATGCAGGTGACACGCATAAGGTAAAATGTAAAATCAGTAGTTTTTGATGGGCTTGTAAAGCACAGAAGAGATGAAAAATAGTATGTGAATTAATTACACCATTCATGAAAATGAGTTATAAAAGAATATGGTGCAAAATTATTTTCTCCCTTTTATTTGTATGGGATGGGGAAACTACAAGTGAAAGGCTCAAATTATACTGGTTTCTATGTTCAATCTGCTTTTCTAAAGTAAGACTGCATCAAACACTAGCAGAAATCATTCCAGCATGCTCAATTTCAGTAGTTGGATAAAATAAGATCACTACATACACACACAAGTGAGTGAAATAGTAAGTTTGTACAAGGGAAGATGACTGCAATTGAAGGCTGATTGAAGCTTCCCGGAATTACAATGCAGCAACTGCGCCCACCAAAGGCTTTTCATCAATGAGAGGAAAACAAAGACCAGCAAACCAGACGTGCTTAACCACTTGCACGCAGACTGCCAGCAGAAGTACCATTTGAGCACTGGCTATTACTGGGCACGATGACTTCCTTTTTATTTCATTCTGTGTCTGCTGTGCCTTTTACCAACACTCACTTTTATCTACTCCATCAGCAACTGTCTGACTGCTTTCAGTTGCAGTATGTGAAACTTGTGAATGTGAGAAATCATCGGCATGGCAGGAAATGACAGTCAGCAGACCGCGCTCCTGCAGGGCTACTGGAGTGAAGCAATGCCAAAAATTTGGAGTATGAGCAAACTGTAATCCAAAGCATGTTAACTCAGGCAGATGAGGAACAAAAAACTCCCTCACCCTTTTTTAACAGAGTCCAAGAATTGCTGATTTCCAACATCAGTGTAGCTTCTAAGTTCACCATCATTTACTGTAAATCCATTTTTCCAAAGTTTAATGATCACATCAACCTGCAGAGCAAGAACAATTTTCAATTTAACACTGATTTAAAACTAGCTTTATATAACCAACCAGTACCTATGATTTTGAACCATCCAGTGCATGGAATAAAAACACTCACTGTAATGTGTTTTGACCCTGTCTTGGCAGGTAGACTGACAGCAAGGGGGAAGTGAGATTTCTAAGCATCAAGCAGTTAGAAGTAAACCTCACTCTAGTCATTATGCTTTCTTTGGGCAAAAACAAGCAGAGGGGACAATCACCTCCCTCTCCGTGCTGGCCACCCTTTTTTTAATGCAGCCCAGAACACAGCTGGCCTTCCAGGCTGCAAGCAACACTCTGCTGGCTCATGTCCAGCTTCTCCTCCACCAATCTTTGGGAGCAACAGAAATACATAAAAAGGACAGAACCTCTTACAAAGCCATGCTGAGCATCCCATTACCACCACAACTATATAAAAGAGAGTAAGTGAAAAAACCTGGACTATTTCTTCATAGAAAGGCTACAACTCTTACAAACTTCCCCTGAGATGGCAGTTGTCACTCCTTGCACTGAATCAGAAGCTCTCTCTCTCTAGCAATTAATCAGAAGTGCATGAGCTAAGTCCCAGAACAAGAGTTCTATAGTGGTTTTTGGGTATCAGAAGCAGAATTACAGGTTTGGTTCAGCCAGAGATGGCAGACTGCTCCTACTGCTGTCTGACTTCTGCATACCTCTTCCTACAGGCGTATTGGATAAAACTGCTGAACTTCTTACATTTGTTTTCTGGAGTATTCCTGGAGTGCTATTATGTTAAATTAGTATTTTTTTTATCAACATCTACCTGGTTCTTGACTGTAGTTGGAGACACGCATATTGCACCAATCTTCTGAGCTTCTTCAAAAAGGTCATTGACAAAATAGTCATGGTTTTGTTCTGTACCATTCAAAATCTGGCCATCAGTTCTTGACTTACACATCCTGCAGAACAAATGCACAAATAACAAAGATGTTCCAGACAGCACAGAAGACAAGCAGTTACCCTAGAAGTTCAGTATTAAAATACATGCTCCTCTACACCAGCTTACTTGATTGTTAGAAAACATCAAGTCAGCTTTGTATCATGCCTTTTGCAGCTTCAGGAACCTGTAACTGCTATTATTTGCACTTCAGAAGCACAAATGAAAAAGCGACAATAGGAAAGGCAAACCCATATATGAAAAGATTCTAAACATGGTATCAGAGCAAGGAATGCATCTTTGGAATGGAACTCAGACCACTGCAACCAAAAGAAAGATCCTTAAAGCACTGCCATGATACAGGCTACAGTGACTTCAGCTTTAAAAGCCACATACAGGAAAACTGAAGATTTTAATACCTTGAAGACGGCCAGAATATTAAGAAGAGATGCATCAGCCACTTCTTTTTGTAGAACATTGTATACGTAACAGTTATTCCTCTGTTAGACTCTGACCAATCACAATGCAGATATATGCAAGGTGAATGAACCATTATGTTGCAGTTTAGATTCTTCACATACTAAGAGGATTATGCAGGTTTTGGCAAACATTGCAGGAGTTATTTCAACTGGAGATTCAGATGTCTATTTTAAGCAATTCAGGAAAAAAAAAATGTAGCTCTTAAAAAAAAATCCAGTTTTATGAAGAACTCTGCAATAAATTCAAGGAGAGCAATGCTTGAACAGTAATGAGCTACATTTGCATTAAAAGGAATTGTTTGCAGTGCCTCTACACAACAGTAGGAATCCCTAAGGATTAATGTATTTTGGTAAAGAAAAACTCAGTGACATTAAGAAAGACTTCAGAAGCACGCTGTACAATGCCTATATTCATTTTCTCAGAGAACAAAACAAACTTGGAGCATTATTTGAAGCAACAAGCCGCCTTTCCTTTATCTCACAAGCATATCTGGAAAACTGAACACCTCCATACTAAATGTCAAAGTACACAGTGAGTTAGCAAACTGCAACCCTGTCTTTCCATTTAAGTAAAATATTTATGCCACTTCTAGCATCTAGGAAACACTCTGGGTATTTGAGAAATCTTCAAGCAAAAATCTGTGGCTTTTTTTTTTTTTTAAACTTCGGTGTATGTGGAACAGAAGGTACAGAAGAAAAGACTGAATTCTGAAATTTAAGAGAAAGTTTAAGAAGTCCTGATAGGACAAAATAGGAAGGAAAAAGAAAACAGCTCAGGGAGATGAGAACCTACCATTCTTCCTTCACAGTTTTGACATTGTCCATGTTTTCATCCTGGTGCTCCTCCTAATTAGGAAAAGAGACAGTTAACAAAACAAAACCCACACAGACAACAGCAGACCACACGCCTGGCACTCCTGCCTACTGCTGAAGCTGAAACGGTCTGTAAGTTTCTCTGTGTTGAAAGTGAATTTAACCAGAAATCTGAACCTTTCCCCTGTCCCCCAAATCCCCCCCAGTCTCCAGATGGTTGTTTCTAATTTGATGACATGCGAACCAAACATCGCTTTCAGACCTTTAAAATGAAAATTACTCTCACATAAAGAAATAAGTTCCACAGTAATCACGTGAATTGCAAATACACATCCACAGCCACGCCAGCTGAGGAAAAGGAGATCACATTCCTTCTCTCATCAGCATGACTTAAAATCCCCTGATTCTCAGCAACGCTGTGAGGCAGTCACAGGAAAACTGCACTGCCACTGCAGGCACTCCGATGACCTTCACTTCAGCAGAGCACATTACCCAAAGGTGCAAGATTTGTCAGGTTCCTCTTCCTACCGTACCTTAACTTGTTAGTGCAGCATTCAAACAACTGCATAATGTGCAATTATCATTTCTAGTCTATCACCCAGTTGGAAAGAAAATCCTGGATTCAGATGTACTAAATATACTACAGGATTAGTTTGCCAAGTCAGAGAATGCCATACCAATCTTCTGAGCTCTCTGAGGAGAACTTACAGAGAGTCACTAAAAGCTAGAGACCCCCCAAACCACCCTAAAACTAAACAAGCTTCCAGAAGGACATAAATTTTAAACGGCAACTGTTTAAGTATTTCTGGACACAGGTTACACAGATCACGCTCTGCTCCTGGCAGGATTAGGACAAAATCATCATATTGTGCACAGATACCAACATCAAACTAAGCAGCAACAGCCCATGTGCTCCCAGGAAATAAATTTAAAATGCTCCAACCATCTAACTTAACAAAAGATAGAGATGTTAGAGGAAATTCACTGAAATGATAAAAAAAAAAAAAACAGTCAACCAACACATAAGCTTCCAGTTCAGTACTAATTCATGTTCTCCTGGGATGCTGATATTGATGTTCCTTCATCTCAAAACTCTGCAACACACTTTCTGCTGAAATGTAGGTAAGCCTTCAGAAAACACTCCTAACAACCACAAAGATTCACTCTGTGTTACTCTGAGAAAGCTCAGGCAGCCTTCAGATTATTTGCTTCTACTATATGCTAGGTCAGAAAACTACTCTTAGAATACCTCTGACATGTCATATAAAAGATGTGGTACGGCCTTTTTTTTTTCCCTTACAAACAGAAAATTATAGTTGGCCAAGCCTGTGCCGGTACATTGCAACCTCATGAGTGTATCTGACTGCTGCACTTGGAACTCTGCACCTGCCCTGCAAAACAGGAACTTTCTGTAACCAGCATAAGAAGAGGCTTAATATTTTTATGTTCATCAGCTTCTCTCAAATTAACTTTTAACACAACTAAGTAATTTTCCTGGATTAAATCTGTGTTTGCGTGTATCTTTTGCCCCCGAGCCACCTCTAAGTGCCTGCTTCTGTTGATTTCTCTGCGAGCTGTCAGCAGAGCTGCTGACACACGGCACAATGAGGGAGCTCAGAGGATTTCTGAGGCCTCCAGCCCCCACCAGCAGCATTCAGAACCGCTCAGCTGTGAAAGTCGCCGCTCCCACTGAAGCTTAACAGCCTTTAGAAGGTGTTGGGTTGCAATCAGAAGAAAGACACATGCTAATATCACGGAAAGCACAATGCAGCGTGTTGGTGGTCACGAGCAAGGAGCCATTCGGGCACAGCGACCAGATGAGCCCGCGGTGCTGCAGGGGGAGCAGCTCCCTCCTGCCAACTTCTGACAGACGTCACCCACAGCGCTGGGAGTTTCGGTACGGAACATTTGTGACAAACGTATCGCAGAGCTGAGCTTCCAGCTGCCGAAATTAAACAAAATAAAGGGGAATGCGGGGCTGCCAGCCTCCCAGCGGCTCCCAGAGGAAAGCTCGCCGGCTAACTTCGGCAGAAGCACAACTTCTCCAGCCGCAAGCTGAGCGCGCTCCGCCAGCGCAGCGCCCAGAAATGACGGACGCGGCTGAGCGCACCGCAGCGCCCAGCGAAGGGGAATAACTTACGGGAGAAAGACGGGCACGCAGGGAGAGCGCCAAGCCGACGCGCCCAGGTAAACGCGGCTCCAAGATCTCCAGCCAGCCAGCAACGCGACTCCGCGCATATCGAAAAGAAACGCGGAAAGCCTCCAGCGGCGCCTTCCCCTCCGCTGCCCCGAACCCCGACCCGCCCCAAGGGCAGCCCGCGCAGGGCTATATTTAGAGCTCCTGAGGTCACCCCGCGCTGAGGCGGGGCGGCTAAGTTCAAGCACTGCTCGGAGCAGAGGGGCCGCCGGCTCGGTAGGACCCGCTCCCCCGGCTCACCGCACCAACTCACCCGGCCTCGCAGCGCAGCACCGCCCGCGGCCTCCGCTCCGCACCAACTCCTCGCTGTCCCGCGCTCCACTGCGCATGCGCGGCCAGAGGCGGCCCGGGCACCCACGGCCGGGCTGGACTGGGCCGGGCGGGGAGCAGGGCTGCGCCCCGCCCACAGGGAGGGCGGTGTCGGGGCGCCATGTTGGAAAGAGTGGGAGTGGAATTCGCCTTCCTTCGGCTCGTTCCTAATTCGCTTTAATTAATAGGAAATCCATGAGTGAAGTGCGATCGATGATAATTCTACAAGCAAAGGTCACCCGGTGTTTTCTTCACGTGTTGTGCAGTCCCTTAAGTGTAACAAACAAAATGACATTTTTCAAAGCTATGACTGAAATGAGATGCTTAACCTCTGAGGCACTGACACCTGACCCCTGGCAGCTGAGTTTATTCCCCTTCGTGCTGCTATACATTACATCACACCGAGCCACCTGAAGGCAATTGGCCTTCAGTTTGAGCTGGATGACATCTAACTGTGGCTCCTGCCTACAAATGTGCAGGGGAGAGTTAAGCATAGGGAGATCCGTACGAACACAAGGAACAACTTTACTTTGTGTGTGACAGAATTCTGGAACTGACTGCCCAGAGAGATGGCGGAGTTTCCTGTGGAGACATTCAGGACTGCTGTGAATGCTTTCTTCTGTATCTGCTGTAGGGAATGTGCTTTAACAGGAGGGTGGACGAGATGATGTCCAGAGGTCCCTTCCAACCCCTACAATTCTGTGATTCTGTTCAGTTTTATAGCTCTCACATACCATAGAATCATAGAATGGCCTGGGCTGAAAAGGGCCACAATGATCATCCAGTTTCAACTCTCCTGGTTGCCAACCAGCAAACCAGGTTGCCCAGAGCCATATCCAGCCTGACCTTGAATGCCTCCAGGGATGGGGCATCCACAGCCTCCTTGGGCATCACCAGCCTCTGTGTTAGAAAGGAGGAAGAAAAACTTCCTCCTAATATCTAAAATAAACCTCTTCTGTCTCAGTTTAAAACCATTCCTCCTTGTCCTATCACTATTCACCCTCGTAAACAGCCCTTCCTCTTCTATTTATATGCTCTCTTCATAGAGACCATATAAATAGAGGAGACCATAGTGAGGTCTCCCCGGAGACCTCATAGACATATATACATCTTATCACTTTACACCTACCTGAGAGAAGGTAGTAAGAAGCTGGGGGGAGCTGTTTTCTCCATAGGAGGAGAGGTTGTGGCCTCAGGATGTGCCAGCAGAGATTCAGGTTGGATGGCTTTCATATCACTGTTGAAGAAATGTAAGGAATTTACAAATTCTGCTTGGTAAAATGTCATAAAGTTGTTCTGCAGTGCTGAACGTATTCTACTTTCAATATCTTAAGTACATTTGCTCCATTTCATTGAACACACAAGCTTAATAATAAGTGCAAGACCTGCCTTGGGGCCCTTTCTGCAAAGATTGTATTAGACCCAAGGTAAGCACAGGAAAAGGCAAGATTGGACTTTACCTGGTGTAATGTTGCAGGCTTCTCAACTGCAATCAAGTATTGATTTAGAAGATTAGATCTATTACTGCAAATCAGAGTACAGCTAGAGACATGCTGACCTACTCCAATAGGAATTGGTGTCCTAGTGAATTTAGTGGTTCTTTAATAGCTCTTCTAAGTGCAGCTGTTTTCCCTCAGGACTGAAACTTGACAAAGCATGAGAGCAAGGAAAATAAAGGGAAAATCCATCTTCAGTTCCAGTATCGCATAAAAAATCTTCGTTTCTTAAAAAGTGGATATTTTCAAGTTAGCATTGTTACAATCAAGCTTTTACTGAAATCCTTTTAGACTACGCATTATATAAAGCTTATTCTCTGGCAAGAAACAGTATACAAGATGAACAGAAGCAAATGGTCCTATTCTTACAGCGTGGTGAATAGAAGCAAACAGCCCGGACTGAGTTCACTGAAAAACACTGTAACAGGGTATTCATTAGATGAATACAACCATCTCATGCCCCTTTGTCAGGAGAGATCAGATGCACTGGTGTGGAAGACAGTAACAACCCCTGAACTTGTTTTATAATGTAGGATTGAATCTCAATGATGACAAAATAAAGCACTGTTCCAGCTGTCACTACTCAGCTGTCAGGGTTGTAGAAGAACCACTGCACATGGTGTACCTAAAAACAATAAGAAATCTAACTGAAGGAATATTTTAAACCAAGGTTAACCCATGCCAGAGCAAAACAGCAACTTCCTATAATTAAACATCAACACATCAGCTATATTGATTGACCTTTGCTTGAGATAGCAGTTGTTGCCTGAAGCCTTTGGAGTAATATACACATATCTGTAGAGCTGTAAGACTGAGAGGGAAAAGGGATTGTAAAATAGAACAGAGTGAGGTCACTCTGTGCTCGCAGTGCTGTTGACGTGACAGCACATTCCTCTGCGTGGTGTCCTTTTCCCTCATGCTCCTTGCAGGGATCACAGAATCACAGAATCACAGAATCACCCGGGTTGGAAGGGACCTCAAGGATCATGTAGTTCCAACCCCCCTGCCTAGCAGGGCCACCAAACACACACATTCAGATCAGGAATGTTTATCAGGGATGTTAAATGCTCCAGGCTGCCACAATGGCAGAAATAGCTTTGGGAGCTCATGTTGCTGGAAAGTTAGTGCAACGGGAAAGCGAGTCATCGTTTTATGGCACTGCATGAATCAGCATTCATGAACAGGGTGTTTGTTACCCCCACGCAGTGAAGTATCCACACATGCAGCTGGGCCGTTGGAGTGTGAATCCACAGCAAAGTGAATACAGCTTCAATTTCAAAAATTCCATAGAATGTACAAAGCCATGAAAAAGTCAAGACAGCTTGAGCTAGCACCAGATAACGCACATTTGGAAATAACACATGACGTGAATTCTCAAAACAAAGGCACTTTCAAGTGAAATTGAGATATGGTAGCATAATTTATAACATTGTTCTTGGACGCATAACGAGAAAACTTATTTTTGAAGCTAAGATTGTGTGTGAGGAGTAGGGAGATTTATGAGCAAATAGTGTTTGCAATAGACTCTCCATGTGACCTTAATCATGTTTATAATGCATTCATATACTCCTAATGCTTATCTGCAAATGTGTTAATAAATGCTTATTGTAAGCATTTTAGAACAGAGTCTGTTTTTTATGACAAAGCTATAGAAAAAGCTTTACTTTTAGCATACTAACAGTCTGGGGTACTACTTTCATATGATTAATGATCATAAACACCAAAGTGAGATGATATGCCATTTTTCTCCAAGATGGAAGCAATTTTCAGCACAGAATGATAGTGAAAAACAGATCCTGCAGATTCCTGCCTTACAGTGTCGTCAGCCTTTTTAGTATCAGACCATCTACTGTATGTAACCTTAGCTCAACAGGAAACATGTTATGGAAGCTGATTACTAGATGTGATGTGCAGCTAATTTTGAAATATCAGGAGGCAGTTCTTATCGCTCCTATTTAATGTCATGTAAGAAATCTGCTCTCTGATACCATTTCAAGTTACAGTTATGTTACCCACTGTAGTTTGGAAAGCAATATTCAGCTGAACATTAGAACTGAACATTCAAAGTTAGTTTCTAAAACATTATTATTAAGAATGGGTCACCTTGATATCACTGCAAAGCATGTGCAATGTGGAGGGACTTACTTTATACAATCAAGTGTAAGGTGGGACCAATCCGGGCCAGCAGACCCTCCTTGTTTGATGTTTCCCAAAGGCCTGTCTTCATAGTGGACAGTTCTCAAGAGAGAAGCCACTCCAACTCAGTTTCCTAAAATTCTTTCCAGAAAGGACATAGAGCATATGTACAAAAGCATAATCTCTTCTGAATCCCTTTATTTTGAGATTCAGCTGAAACCAGGATGAGTTGACAGCATGACAGAAAGAAGCACACAAGAGCTTATAAATAGAGTCCTGAAAAGACGATTTAATTTTCATTCTTTGGGATGTTACAGCTATTCAGAGATATTACAAAGTAATCTCTGATAAATTGCCTATGATTGAAGCAAATAGGATTTCACTGGAAAAAAGCCCTCTGGTCCTTACTGGGAAGAAGCTCTCTACAGAAGTTCTTCATAAATGACAAAACACTTTTTCTTTTGTTATAATATGTTCCTGATTTCCTTGTAAAACAGGAACAGGTGATAACAAAATCTTCCATCTCCAAGTACTTCCCATGACATTAAATATTACTTATGGAATAAACAAGGATTTCCATTCGTCTTTATCCTGGCTCATCTTTTAATGTCTTTTTATGTCACTGAGTCCCAGTAGGACTTAATTCCCCAAGTCTTGTTGAGCAAAAGGGATTCTTTTGCTCCAGCACTTCTTCATGGTCTTCCAATTTCTCAGTGCTGTACCTGCCACAGCAGATGTCCTGGCCTCTTTTCAATATAAGTTTTGGTTATTTTCATCTTCTTTTCTAATAACGGGAGATAAAAGGGTGTTGAACTCTGCTGCAAGCTTCAGCACCTTATAAATTGGTTCAATTTGAAACACAGTCCTTCCCAATGGCATTTATTTTCAGAAGCATTTACCCATCTGTTTTCAAGACCAAACTACAAATCTTGAAATTGAATCTGAGAATGAACCCTACAGAAGTTTTGTGTAATACTTTGTGGAGTATCACTCTGTTCCTTTCTGCCCCTCTTTTTCGTATTTTCTCTTTCACTACTCAGGTTTTTTTTTTCACTTTTTTTTCCTTTCTTTCTTTTTCTTTTTTTTTTCCCAACAAAGCTCTCCCTACGAATAGAGGGTCAAAACAGGCTTTAACTCCATCATTAATTACACTAGACACAAACAACAAATAAGAAAGACGGAACAAATACATTTTTGAATTAGTGAAATTGCTATAAATTCACGTCCGCATCAATGTCTGCAGTACTTCATCTTTCATTGTTAAACCGAATAGAAATCTCTTCATACGTGTAGTACAAAATATTAATCTGATGTTAACGTGTCATCTGTATAAGAAACAAAAAATCCAAACAAAACTGACAAGCAAATCTTGTTATTTATGATTTATTCATTTGTAGTGTCCCTACTAAGGATGGCGATGGAGTGCACGTAGAAGCCAGAAAGCCACGAGATGACTGAGTCAGTTACTGGCCACGCCTTGTAAGAACAACAGCACAACAAAGAAACCTGAAAATAAAACCATCTGCCAAAAACCACGCAGGGAGGAAACGTCCAAAATGATGCATGTCTTTACATGTTCCCTACTATGCTAACATAATGAGGATAAAGCATTAGTGCTCAAAGCAGCGAGCAGGGATTTTTAACGACATCAATCCCTCCACAAGAGTAGTCCCTCTGGTGTCATAAAGAGCATGGCTCACAGGAATGAGATCAGAACATAGGAATAAAAGGACAAAGGAAAAAAAAGAAGGACACAACTATGGTCAAAATATTTGGTAAATATAAATTGCTTTCATGTTGTTGCCTGTCTGTTGCTTCAAGCAGATCTGGACAGGGACCCAGAAAATAATTTTGCTTGCATAATGACAAAGTTTATTTTACTTTTAAAAAGTCATCAGTGTTCATCAGAGGAGGGAGGAGTGCTGGTTTGAATCAGGCATGTTGCAAGCAGATGTTATGCTAACAGTCCTGCCAATGCATTGCAATCCTGAGTTATGACATTCACTGCATCTGCAGTTTGGGTCCTTTTTTGGGCCAGAGCTTCATCTGTTGGTTTTCCCAAAATGGGGATGGTATTCTTGTGATGCACACAAAAACTTTACGAAGATCAAAATACTATTTTTCATTTTCAGACCTGAAGAATTTGGACACCGTATCTGAATTACATGGCTGATCAGTAGCAAGGATGGAAATGGGAAATTTATCTATCATCATATGGTTGCAGTAATAGCTTTTAGGTAACACATTTCTGGCTTCTTTCCCACAACACTTTTGGTGAACTACAGCCTCTTGCCATTTCCTTCCATTCCTACAAGTTGTTTCCCAGTATCATTTTCAAAATCTGTCATGCATTTTACATTAAAATACTCCTTTACCCTACAATTGTTTGAAATGGCTACATCTTTCCATAACCTCAAAACAAATAAAGGAATAAATGAAGAATAGGCAATGTAACCAAACTAACTGCACTGAGCAGAACAACTGTGCTTTAGAAAGACTGCAGGTTCTTAAACAGGAGACGAAGTACTGTTGCTATTACAGATTAAAAGCTGTAAGCAGAGAATGTCAGATAATCAAAACATCATCATTTCTACTTCTAGGATGCAGTACTTAGAAAAATGAAAAATTCTCTCTGTATACAGAGATAATTATTTTCTTGGAAATCTAAACGGCCCATTTCCTTATCATACATCCTAATGGAACTATTGTAAGTTTCACATTTGTAAGTATACACTCCACCGTGCTTTCAGACTTTAATCTTGAAAGGAAGTATGCGGGAGTGTGGATGTAAACCAGAATAACAGTTTTTACATTTATTGTTCTCTATTTATATTGCAATTTCCATCTTTAAGCACTAAGAATACTGATAAAGCCTGTATGAGCCTAGCAGCCCCTGCCATGTGATCAGAAATTGTATTATTTTTTGCCAAAGCAGCAGTGTAAGAGTAACAAACAGAGGCTGTGACTTCATCACTTTAAAGCTCCATGCTTCTATTACTGAATGCATCACCTACAGCTCCGTGCTTCTATTACAGAATGCATCACCTACAGCTCTGTGCTTCTATTACTGACTACATCACATACAGCTCTGTGCTTCTGTTACTGAATTTGTTTTATTTTGTTATTTGCTTTACATGTGTTGTGATTAAGTTCAATGAAGGCCATCAGCTGGTGGCACAAGAAGGACTTCTTGCTGCACATCAATATAGAAGGATCGTAGTTCACGAGCAGTTTGAGCAGCGCTGAGGCATCCGATGTAGCATACAGATACCAGTCTTCGGCTCTCTGTAACGTGATTGTTGGATCTGCGATGAGAGCGAGAGGAGACAAGAGAAAAATCAGCTTTCCGACCGCTGAGCAATGGACTTCGGACGCCGAGAGCATGCTGTGGGTGAGCCGCACGGCAGACAGCGCAAGGGCGCATCGCCGTCCGCCCGCCCGTCACAGGATTCCTTCGCAGCCAAACTCGGCAGGCTGTGAAATTCGTTCTCCACGCAGAGGAGCGGGCACCTTAACCCCCGTCTGCGTGAGCCGTGTCACTGACCGACACGAAGTCCCACGGCTGAGCGGAGCTCCGCGGGCGCTCTCTGGGGCCGTCTCCTCCCAACCCCCCCCGGCCGTGGGCGGCCGTCCCTTCCTCGGGCCGGCCCCAAAATCTCTACGATCCCTTGCCGTAATCGCCGAGGCGCCGGATCCCGCCGAGGCAGGCACGACTGACAGAAGCCTCGACCCCTCGCCTCCAGAGCTCCGCCGCGGCCCTCAGCCTGACAGGACGGCTGCCCCGCAGCCCCCGCCCCGCAGCCGTTCTGCCCGCGCGGGCCGCTCCCGGCCGTCCCAACCTCCGTCCCGCTCCCTGGGAATCCTACCGATCGCCTACCCCCGTGCCCCCGGCTCGCGCCAGGCCCATAGAGCGGCGCCGGCGCCGTGCTAGAACGTACACAGCGGGGGCCGCCTCGGCCCTACGCGCGGAGGCGGCGGCGCCGCAGCGCCCCCCTGCGGCAACAGCCGGGGTGGCGGCGCGGCGAGGAGAGAAAGGGAGAAGGGGCAGTAATGGCGGCCGGCTAGCGCGGGGCTGAGCCGAGGAGGCGGCGGCAGCGGCGGGAGGAGTCGGCGCGGTTCCGTCTTGTGGTTCTGCCCGGCGGAGCGGCGTCCCCGAAGGACTTCTTCTCCTTCTTCCCCCTCCCCTTCCCCTCCCTTCCCAAGCCCTCGCCTGTCCGCCCTCCCTCCTCCCTCCGCGCCGGCGGCGGCGGCGGCAGCAGCGGCGGCGGCGGCGGCGGCGGGGCCCCCCGCGACCCCCTCCCCGGGGCCATGGTGAACACCAGGAAGAGCTCCTTGCGCCCCCTGGGCAAAGCGGCGGCCGCGGCGGCCGGAGCCGGCAGCCATTTCATCTCGTCCCGGACCCGCTCTTCCAAAAGGGGCACCAAGGCAGATGCGGCCGGGCTGGAAGAGACGGCGACGGCGCGGGTGAGGGCTGGCGGCGGGGAGCGGGCAGCGGACGACGTACGGGGAGAAGGGAATTGGGGGCGGAGGACGGCGACGGCGGGGGAGACGGCGGCAGGGCCTTGGCCGGGGAACCGCTGGGGACAGCGCCGTTGTCGCGGGGGGTGGGGGGGGGGCGGCTCCGAGACGGTGCCGGGCCGAGCGGAGGGACGGCGGGGCGTGCGGGGACGCGGCGCCGCGTGTGGGGGGCAGGGAGGGGGGACACACGTCGTGGGGAAGCCGCCGAGCGGGCGGCCCCTGACGGGGTCAGGGGGCGGCCGAGGACACGGGAGGCGAAGTTGCGGCGGGGCCGCGGCGCCGAGGCAGGGCCGGCACGGCGGGAGGGAGCCGCGCTGCTGGCCGAGCGCCCCCTGCGGCCGGGAGCGGCTCTGCGCCGCCGCCAGACAAAAGTTGGGAGCCGCGCCGGCCGCAACTTCGCGATCGTCCCTCCCTCCTCGCTTTTTTTTTTTTTTTTTTTTTTTTTTTTTTTTTTTAATTCCTTCCCTAAATGACCTCAGTTCGTTTGAAGCGAAGGCTCGCAGAGGCTCGTGAGGTAAAACTCTGGCGTTTGGGGAAGCTGTCCTGTCGGTGGGACGCCCCGCTCGCAGTGGGCCGGGGAGGACGCGGTTGTGCCGGGATTAAGTTGAACGCTTTCTCAACGTCACTGATAATACCTTTACTGTGGTCCGGTGGCGGATGAATTCCGTAGGCAGGTTCGAGCAGCTAATGTTTGGTTAACTAACTGGAAGGGAGAATTCCGAAGCCCCTTGGTTTTGCCTTGGTGTCTCCAAGCAGATCTGTTGACAGCGCTGTTCTTTTTATGACATACGAGGCTTTTTTCGGATGCTTGAGGACTTAGGCTAATGGTTATAGCTCGCTTACCCACGTACCTATTTTCAGAGCTGTGTGTTGTGAGAGACTCATTAAATACAGAAGTGAAAATGGAGGGTCTGGTTGTTAAACGGTTGTGCACCAACTGACCACGTCCTGCCCTGTGCTGAGGAAAACGTTAATCAGACAACCAGAAACCATCAGCAGCCAGAGGCAGATGAGGCAGATGACAGCTGGAGTCACTGGAAAGCCTTTTCCCCATATCTTTTGTTTGAAAATAACAAAATCACGGTCAGAGTCCTTGTGAGAACTCTTTCCGTTCTCTTGTACTTCACGTTTCTCCTCTTCACACACCTTACTTGTTCTCAGTGGCCCTTACTCTGTGTGACTTCATTGGGCTCGTGGGGATGGAGGACGTGGCTGCACAGAGCCGTTCTGCTTATTCTCATGTGCAGTTTCTGTTTATTTGTATCGTGGGTCTTGTGGTTTGCAAGGCAGAGTTTGGTGTAACTCTCACTGGCTTATGTAGCAGGGAGTTTGCAGCTGCTAAGTAAATAGGTTGGGCTTCTTTCCTCTTCTTTTTCATCAAAGAACGGCATTTTGTACTGCAAATTATTAAAATGTATACGCTGTGTGATTTTCATGCTCTAAAGAAAGGGGATTATTGATTTGATGACAATATTTTTTCATAAATGCATGACAGGGTGCATTTCTTCTGAAGTTAAGCAAACATTTTGGCATGCTGACATGGGCTGGCTTTACTTCACATCAAATGTGATGTGTTTGAGGTAGATAACTTTTTAAAATTGATATACATTCACCAAAAATGAGCAAAAGCTACCAAGAATAAGTTTATTTTTTGTTTTTCCTTCCCTTTGTAAATTCTGTTACATATACACACACATATATATATCCCATCATATTTTTGAGTGATCTCTGTCCAACAGTTTTTTATTCTTCAAATCTAAGCGTTTGTCAGTGCTACGGCGTGTTTCTGCGCTCCCGAATCTCCTTGAAATGATGCCAAAGGAGGATTTCAGTGAGTACAGCGTGAGTAAGTGCAGCAGTAGGAAGACAAAGCCTTTGCTTTTTGGAAGTGACTGTCAGCAGACAGATAGGGAGGCTGTGTTTTGCGCTGGGGTTGTTTTTGTGCAGTTGCTGTGTGTTTTTTCGAAGTTGACTGGAACAGTGTTGTCCTTCTAAGATCTTCTAGTTGTAATGTCAGAAACCAGCCTTACTACGGCAGTTAATTGGGTTAATGGGCAGCTAGAGCTGGGAGCTCTGGCAGAGACGTTATGCTGCTTATTTGCACCGTGACTTAATTTTCCTCCACAGAGGAGGTTTGGACTTGAATTCATAGTGAAATGCCCACTGGTGGCAGTCCTTGTAATTCCCTTTTGGAGTGTTTTTTAGCAGATGATCTATTTGTTCCTTATTAGAGAAATTGAGTTAGTAATCTAATGGCATCCTGTGAGATGCCAATTAGACCAGGTACTGCAGCATTATAGCTCTATTTCCTTTCGCCTTATTTCCTTGTGGTTTCTTTTTGTTTTTCTCTCCACACGTGTACCAGGGTACTCGGAATCCCTCCTTTTCCAAGCCCTGGATAGAAGATGTGAGTTGGAATTCCTTCAGGTTCCATACCGTGTCAAACTGCTTATCAGTAGTGTGCATGTGTTTGGATCTTAATGTGGAAGCAATATGTATTTAGACTGTGATGGATTATTTCCACAGAAAACCTTTATCGTATTCTCTATATTCCCTCTGTAGTATTTTCCCATCTCAGACAAAGTACTGACATCAGTATTTGAAAAGTAAACTGTTTTGAGTTCTGGGCAGTGATTGAGATGAATACATGCGTGTCCACTGAGCAGCAGCAAGGTGAAAATTAACAGAATCCCTCACTGATTTAGGGATCAGGGAGCCAGGAAGTTTGTTCTCTGAAACGATGTCATAGCAATGCCATTGAGGAAGGCACAAAGAGGAGAAATTGGGCTATGTTTTCATCCCTGTTTCCATCCTTCATTTATGTAACAGTAAGTTAAGCTGTCCTTACATAAGTTGCTATTCTCTCTTCGTGTAAATGACATATTTGTTTTTTTTTTTTCCAGTGTTATGGAATGTCTTATGGCTTGAGTAAAGCATTCTGACAAGAGAAATGCACCAAAGTCTTCCACAGTTTTCAGAAACGGACTCGTAAAGCAGTGCTTGTAAATTCAGGGAACTTAATTCAAACTGGGAAAGACTTGAGGGTATTATGACCACAAGTGGTTACATTTAGTCTAGGCTTACTTATGTCTGATGTTTTCAGATGTTGGATTGTGATGATGCTGGCAATATTTATTTGGCAGTGGTAATGATTTTTCTCAACATACAAAACCAAAAAGTGCTCACTGAGAAAGGGGATTTCTTGAGAAATGAACACTTTGAAACCATGTCAGTGTATTAGTTAGACACTGTAGAAATGTATACGAGATTAACTTAATTTAATTAGTCAAGAAAGCATTAGCAGTGCCTTAAGAGCTACTTGAGGGCTCTGTGTTAATTGTGACACGTGATCCCATCTAAAAGTAGCACTGCCAGCATCGTTCAGCTTGCTCAGTCGCAACATAGAGCTCTCCATTGTACTTAATTGCTAATAGGAACAAGCGCAGGCTGGGGACTGACAGACAGAGCTGCAGAGTGGTCAAGTATAAAGCTAAGCAGCATTTCTGTGCTCTGTAATGCCCATATATTTCTGTGTCTCTTCCTGTAATATCTCAGTCTGTAACAAAATATTTATATATATATATTTTTTTGTTTTGGAAAGTGTGATAACGCAGCTTTCCTTGCACAAACCCGCTGCTTCACTCCTTAAAAAAACTCTTTAATGGTCAGCTATTGCAAACATACAGAGTGAACTTTTAATATGTGTCATTTGTTTTAGAATTCTAGCTTTAAACGTAAGCCTTAGAGCTTCCCAAAAATAAAACTTTTCATTGTGAAAGAGCTTGATGCAGATTATTGTTTTCTCAGTGGCTCCTTTGCAGAGTATCTATCTGTGTTCTGGGTAGTCAGGAATGGACTTAGAATAAAATTCTTTGTAAAACTTGGGGTTTCCTTCATCCCTATGGGAAATTGCTGTTGCTGACCCCCTGCATGTAGAGCTCTTCAGGGACAGAAGCTCCTCTTAAATACTTAGATTTTAAAATAAGTTTGATTGTGTTATGGCTAAGAGTTAAGTGCTGAGGGGACTCAATGCTTCTACAGCTCTCTGGACTATGTCCTGAGATACAGTCAGTTGAAATTGCTGAGTATAACTTCAGTTTAAGGCAAGTTTCCAACTAAACTCATCTTAGCAGTGTGGTGAAACAGCAGTTGTTTGATGTTAGTGATCCCTTGCTCTTCTGGGATGTACCAGGAGAAAGTCAGTGATCTGTAACGGATTGTGCGGTCTGTTCCTTGCTAGTGTGATATTAACACACTGTGAGCAGTGGGAAGTGAGTAATTGTCAGGAGTGATCCACGTCCAAGTTTCTGTCCAAATTCTCTGTAATCAGCATTTAAAAGTTCTGTGCTTCCAAATGGCTGCTTTGAGTGAAAGTTCTTCGTGTGTGTCCTGTCTGCGTTATCCAGGCAGTGTGAGCAAGTTCATGGCACCTCCCGAGGACACGCAGTTTTAGGAGCAGTCATGCGTCATTCCAAACCATCTTTGCCATCGTAGTGTTAGAGGGCCTGACAAGGAAGCAATACAAGGACTGTTGCAGCGGGTAACAGCACCAAGGAACACTCAGGGTGGTGTTGATGTTCGGCTGCTCCCTCTGAATGTTGGGTTTGATCAAAAGTAATGTTGGCAGAAGCTGCTGCTCAGGTTGCTATCTCTCCTTTAAAACTTGACGCAGGAAGCTTAACCAGTTGTCGGGAGAGATCCCATGACAGTTTTGCAAGAGTGGCATACAGCCTGGGGTTATGTAAGATAATTAGCTCAGGTAATTACGTTGTGATCACCTACATTCCCCTGCAGTTTCACTTAGATGTGATAAAGTTTTGCGTATCCTGTCCTAAATTATTGAGCGTTCGCTATGTGTGGCAAAGTTTTCATTCTGTTCTAGTAGTGCTTTAAATGTTTTTACAGTTTGATGCAGAAAACCATTCCCAAACCAAAGCATTCTACAA